ACACACAACAAACGCAAATTGCCAGCACATTTTTTCTTGTCCTGTATTTTTTTATGTTCTATTCTTTTACTATTTTATTTTTGTGTAGTTTTTTCAGGCCGCGCTTAAAGTTCAATTGACAACTCCTTTTATTTAATTTTGGTTCCTTTTTTTGGGTAAGCTTAAAAAAGAGTTAAAGTCATGACAAAACGTCAAGAAAGCAAGCGAAGCCCCCGCAGCAAAACAACGACAACAACAACAGCATCCGCAGCAATCTTGATTTAAATGAAATTTAACTTTGTGCATATTAAAAAAGTTTTGCATTTTTCATGCGAAATAAGAAAAGTTTCGGCCTTTCTTTCTATATTTTATTTTTGTAGATATATATTATGTATATATTTTTTGTGTTATTGTAGTTTTGAGTTTTCAACGGTAGACGGCTGTAAATTAGATATTGCTTGACTTTCAATTTTCATTTCGTTTCGGGGTCTGTGCATTTAATTCAAAGTAAAAATAAATAATGCACATTTACGGCGTTATATAGTCGACACATATGCATAAAATATCATAGAAAAAATTAGGTGTTCATGTGCTATCATTTAAAGGATTTTTAGTTTTAAAAAATCTGTTCTTAATAAAATAATATGTTTATTATTTAGAAAGACTTTAAATTATAGATTGCATTTAGTTATATTTTTTACACCCAAGCTAAGAGGAAAAACATTTCCAACTACCTTAAAATATTGAATGTCAAAAGGTAATCTATTAATATTTAAGTCCTTACCCAAAATCCAAACTATTTCTTGAACAAAACTTTAGACGGTGTTTGAGCCAAACTTGGCCAAGCACCTGCAGTAGCAGCTCTTTTAGCCAGGTATCTGCTTTATTTTATGTTGAATTATGGCGGCTATTGTGCATGTGCATGTGTGTGTGTGTGGTGAGTGTTGTGTGTATTTGCTTTGGGGGCGTGCCATTTGCAACGTGTTTTATTTACAGGCAAAGGCGTGCAAAAAATTAGCAGTTACCAAAGACGGTTAGCAGCTGAAGATGGGAAAGAGGGAAAACGTGTAAGGAAATCGCAGGAAATTCAAACCAAATGGCTGCACAGGTAAAACTAAAGGAAACAACCGAGATACGAAAACTAAGAACCGAGCAGAACCAGAGGCTGCGGTGGCTGCCCCCAACTTGCTTATTAAGATTTATGTGAGGTCCTTTTTGCATTGCTGCCAGCACCAGACAACAGGCAAAACAACAACTATAAAAGCAAGAGCAGAATCAGCTATCAAATACGTGAGTATTGAGCAAATTTCATGTGGCCAAGTTTTTCTGGTTTTCCTCTCGATTTTTCTTCTAAAGCCGCATGCAAACGAAGGCAACGAACTGATCTCTGAGAAAATCTAGCCACAGAAGATATAGAATACTAGATAACTCTTATAAAAGGGATTGAAAACAAAGAGCTGAATAAAAAAAAATATATTTTTAAATTAAACATAACATAAATTAATAGAAATAAAAATATTAGCAACAAACGTGAACGGAGCTGGCACAACGAAAACAGAAAAAAATACGTACAGCTAAACACAAATTTACAAAAAAATAAAAATTTGGTATAAAAAAAAAACAAAATATAAACTTAATTATATAAATTCAAAAATAAATAAACATTTTTATTAAAATAAAATAAATATAAAATATATTTAAAAAATATATATTTAAAAGCTTATATAACAATTAAATTTAAAAAATATAAATAAAAATATTGGAATTCAAATAATATGAATTGTACTTATCAGACAACTAAAGATAAGGTTATACATATTATAAATATTACAAATACATATTATAAATAAAAAGGACTACAAAAATAATAAAACATAAAATAAAATATACAAAAATAAAATAAAATCGTATAAAAATAATAATAAAATATAAGGCTAACTATATTTTAAAAAAAAATATAAAAATGTATTTAAAAATATAATAAATAAAAAATATATATTATGCTCAAAATACAACTAAAGATAAGGTTATACATATTATACATATTACAAATAAAAGTGCCTGCAAACATTCGATTCTGTCTTTGCTAGCTCTCCTTCCTGTATTGGGAAATACGCGTATCTAACGCAATAAATTCCAAGTCATAAACATGCTGAGGCGTTGGCTCCGATCTAACAACCTCCTGCCTGGCATTTGGTCTTTTTTCTCTATACGGATGTGATTTGCGCTTTTTGCTGTTGCCACTTTTTAGCTGGATTCTGCTGCGCTTTTGATAAATCAAATGCTGTCGCCTTTTGTCGCCGACGCAATTGAAGTTGAAGCTGAAGTCTGAGCATCAGCCTTTAGCCTCATCTTTAGCTTTGGCTAAAACTCAAGCACAACTCATTGTGGCGCTGTAAATTGAAGTTCTCATTGGGTTCGACGGTGCTGGGAGGGGATTGGGGGGAGGGGGGCCCTATACTTGAGAGCTGACGATAAGGAAGTGGAATTGTATGGCTGCCGTAGCGGCAACAACAATGGGCGACTGCTGCTGCTGCTGCTGCACTTTGTCGTTTAGAGCAGGCACTTAAGTACATTGCCTTGCCATTTTTCTTGGTATAGATTGCAATGAGCACCCCTACCCCCGCTTGTGTTCAAGTGATTTGAGTGGCAATTTTCATTGTTGCGCTTGTCTCATGACGTTTTTAAAGAATTAGCACAGCGGAACACTCCATCAAAGCCGCTCTCACACTCATGCACCTATGGCCTCAACGTCATAAATCTTCTCAGTTTATTAATAGACGATTAGAACTTCGTAAAGCCGAGTGTCAATTGTAATTAACTGCCAGTTAAATTCTGTGAGGCTGCCCCATCTACTGCTGTGCACACTATGTAAACGTGTTACGTAAATCATTTTCAATTGCTTTCTGTGATATCGAGCTTTCGATATTCATCTGTTCATTTCAATCGCTGCTTGCTTTCATTTTTGTGTTACATGACAATTTGGCTTTTGTCTCTGGCCTTGATCAACCGAACGTATGGGTAATATGACACACATTTGTGTGGAATGTTTGAATTTCTTTTTTTATTATAAAAGTAACGTTTGAGCATAGCGATAACTAGATGAAATCATATTCGACATTTTCTTTTTTAATTTCTTTTTTAACAAAAAAATGTCATCATTAAATCTCAAATACTTTTTGATATATGAGCTCGTTCTTTACAAAATTGTGTAGCCTGCCGCTTTTGCACATTTTTTAATAGGCAAATGTATGTTTATTTATGTGCTTGGATGTATGTTGTCTTACAACAAATTCATACCAACTTAACTTTCCGATGCACTGCGCATAAAACAAATTATTTGTATATATTGCCCTTATATGCGATTCTCATGAATTCAAGTAACTAAATCATGCGTTGCTTGTAAATATAAATATTAAATTATTGCCAAATTAACTTAATCTCAGCTCATTATCCTACTCCAATCAACTCTGGTTGACAATCCTTTGCTATCTCTGCTGATCAAAATCTCACCATATTCAACGTCTTGTTTCTCTTTTTGTAATGTGCATTAACAAAAGTCTTGTGCAAAACGGCAATCAGATAATTGTGCGTGTGTTTAGGAATTTCAGGCTAAGTAGAATTTATCATTATATAAATTTATATACAAATATGAATATACGGTAAGACAACACAGACCTATATCGCATAATCGCCGGCTTTAAAATTTATGATTCTCACATGTGGTAAACATTCCAAACGAAATGAACAGCTCTTAAGTATTTTCTAGCTCAATTCCAAACCAGATATCATTTTAATTAAACTAGCTTATTTTATTAGCTAACTTCCTAGTGCTGTGCGGTATGTCAGCATCATTTTATTTTTATTTTTTTGGCGTAACTATCTAAAACTCTGGGATAAGTCAAATTTGTTCAAGGATTACCTACCAGATGCAATAAAAGTGGTCTTGGCAAATATTCGCAGAGAAAATTCAATTTGATGCCAGTTGCGATGCAAGAAGTGGGGCCAAATTGCAAACTAAATGGCTTAAAATATTTTCAACTTATGGAAATGTTATGGCAAAGTGCAAATGGCCTTATGATTTTTTATATTTTACGCTGCGTCTTGGCATAACTTTGGGTAAACAAAAAAACCTGAACTGAAATTGTTATAAGGCTTACAAAAACAAAACAGGAAGGAACAAAGGATAACTTTATAATTCGAAGCAATTGACAACATTTTTGTTATATTTTTAGCTACTTATGTTGTCAAGGCATATATATGTTAAGTATTAAAAAAAAGCGGACACTGTATAAAGTGGCAACAAAAAGTGGCGCCAAATGAAAAACGGCATTAAAATGCAATTGCCAAATTAACACGCGCCCCGTGTAAAAGGCAAAGAAATTTAATTACTTGCAGCACACACACACACACCCAGTCCGAAAACAACAGTGGTAAAGTTGTGGGCGGTACTTTGTGGGCGTGTCTACGTGATCAAATATGCAAATAATTGCAAAATGAAAATGTGTGTGCAAAGTCAAACGAAGCGCTACGCGCAAAGTATCTCAAACAACAATTTTTTATGCTGTTGTTTTTGTTTTTGGCTTTAAGCAGTAAGAGTGGGGAGAGGGGAACTCCATCCTGTACGTGGGGGCGTGGCTGGTGCCATCAATTTATTTGCGCCACGCACGCGAATGCAAACAAATTAAATTGCAAATCATGATTAGCTGGCTCACAGCTTGCGAACACCCCACCAAAATCCACAACGCCAAAACGCCAACTCGATAAAACAAAAGCAAAATGAGGCATATGGAAGGGAATGGGGGTGTCAGCGGCAATGCGAGTACTTCAATATAATCATATATGTATACCGATATGCTGGCAAAACCTGCTAGCGGGAACTTGTCGGATTTTATTTAGATTTTTGCTTTAAATTTAACGAAAGCGAAAAGTTGCTCTTACAGCAGTTGCCGCGGGAATTGAAAGTCACAGATTCTCTATAATAAGATAGGTTTATATAAGCAGTTGCTTCAGTCACTTACCTTGTATTAAATCTGTCGGTTCACAGCACTGGATAATATTTAACAACACTGAAATGGAAAAATAAATAAGGGATACATTAGTTTGCTTTGGTTTTATTGGGATTGGGATTTATATATTTTACATAATCAGTTATCGAGCCATGTTTTACAACTGCCACATCAGACACATATCTATGTCGGTCTTCAGAATATACAAGTAAATAGTCCTATTAAACACTTTTATTAAACTTGAATTGCACACACATATTTGTTTAAGCTTTGTTTGTTGGTTACCTAAAGATATTCATAGATATTCAGGCGTTGTTAGCTTTACTCTATATTCGTTATACAACACTTAACAAATGTGTATACGCTCTTAACAGCCTATTCACCTAAACTATGTCCATTCGATAAAGCGTGGCCCCTAGGGACAAAATCGCTGGCCGTTTCTTGGCAAACAAATATAAATATATATATAGTTAAAAAGAGTATCCAGAACTCTTTATATGCTTGTTTCTTTTGCTTGTTGCTATACAAACAATTTATGATTTCCATTTTCTATGTATGAGCGCATCGCAACAACTTGAAATCCTAACGAAAACAACACATAACCGAGCTACACCCAAAGCCTCTCCTTACCAACCATTTGAACCACCAACCACCCCAACCCACTGCCATTCCCGGCTTCTACGTGCAGGCATTCGCATCCTTGAAGGCATGTGTGTGTGGTGTGTGGATATTGCGTGTGACACGTTTGATAATATGGTAAATAATTTAAATAAAAATAAATAAAAAACCAAGCGACAAATAGCAACAACAAATGTCCCTGTCGCTTTCGCTGGCTGTTGCAGTCGTAGTCGATGTCAACTCTTTGTTAAATTATGTGTGAATTATTTAGCATCAATGAATGTATCGATGCGAAACAGACAGACAGACAGAAAAGCAAATGTGCTGTGGTTTCTGCTGGGTTAACAATTGAATTGAAATTGTGGTTTCCTGCGGTGGTTGAGTTGCGCGGTTCTTTCGACTCTTTGTGCTTAAACTAAACTACTATCAATATAGAAATGTGAAAAGCAAACGTCTTCAAGCGCATGAAGACATTCACTTGACGAAATGTCAATCAATAGAATAATAAATTTATTGTATCTAAGAAGTGGTTTAAATGAACACCAGCTGGCTGCAACGATTACTGATTAAACTCATTTCGTCAGCAAAACAAATCTTCCACCTAAAGCGGAGCAGAAACAAAACTTACCTGTAATATATAGAGGTATTTAATATTGGAATAATTAAAATTTAATCGTAATTGCGCACTTCTTTTAGCTTAAAATTCAATGACACTTAATGACAATCTCTTTTGGTATAAGATAAACAAAGTTTAAGAAAAATATTATGCTTGGAAGAAAGTAAATTGGCGCAGTTTTAAAATACTTAAGAAACTATGAGTTTATTTACTTAAGTATAAAAATATAAACATTATACCTTTTAGGTTAGGAGGAAAATATTAATATTGGCTCCATTTTTGAAGCATTTAAGAAATTAAGCAGTTTATTTATTTAAGTTAATAAATATTTACATTATTTTTTATATTTTCAGTCAGTGTATTAACTAAATTTTGTTAATATTAATACTTTGCCTCGCTCATTTTGTATGCATTTCTATTCAAGTTATTTCTAGTATAACAACACTCCATATTTTACTTTCTTAATTCAACTTTGTACATAAAAACTTTGTACAAACAGAAAAAGAAGCAGCTTTTTGAATAGGATGTCCGTGATTGAAGGGCAGCAGCTTGGGGATTGCTGCCTTTGAGTGCATCTTTTGAGCTAGCAACCAAATCAAATTAGCCTATGCTTAAGCAGTCTTTCGACAAAGGCAACAACAAGTGAAAAAGTTACTTCAAACTGAATTAACACACAGGCAAATACTTATAGATTATAGGGGCGGGGCTAGCTCCTCCAAATGGCTGTTGAGCTTAACCTCAAATAAATATTTACACAGGCCCATAGAAAAGGTGAGCACGTTCCCAAAAGAAAAAACAACAAACAAACAAAAAAAAAACATTCGCATGTTATTCAAATTGAGCCCCAAAACATTTGGCGCCCAGTGCCAGACCCAATCCCAGGGGCTGCTGGCGACCCATCCCAGAGCATCTTCCAAGCACTTTAACATGACCTACGCTTCAGTTATTTGTTTGCACAGTGTGTCCAGTTATTGAATTCCACTTGTTTAGCTTGATTTTCTAGCTGTTGTTGTTGCTGTTGTTGTTGTTGTAGCTGCTGTGTAAACGTTGCGAAAAACTTTTCCGTGTTAACAACATTTTTCAATATAAGTTTGTAAACTTTTTGCTCCCACACAGACACACACACACGCACACGAGCATTTCCACCGAAATAGTAGAACATTTGCTATATGCGAAAGCCAAAAGTAAAAGTCTATGCGGCAGCCAAGTCAAGGATGTCAGTCAGAAGGTCGTCTTGCCTTTCTGGCCAAAAACTGTTTGTCTGTCTGTCTGCCCGACCGTGAGTGTGAGTGTCCGTATTTGTGTCTGTATCTGTTTGAGTGTGTTTTGTGTGGGTGTAAGTGTGTGCGTGTGTGTGCACTGCAAGTGGCAGCCAAGATGATCAAACAAACAGAAAAAAAAGTCGTACAAACGAAATACAAGCAACATTTAGAAGTTTTCTAAAGTGTCCGCGCAGCAAATACCCTGTATCTCGGGTAGTCAACTAACGCCTCAATGAAATAGCTTGAAATAGTGGTAAAAACCACTCAAAATAGCAGAGCATTTTTAGTAGAAATTGGCTATAAAAAGAGTTGCCGGCTGTCATTGAAATGCAGGCAGATATCTAAATCAGTTTAAAATTTTATCTATTTTCGGTTGACGATATCGAAATAAAGTCGACCTTAGCTAGAAAAAGGCTGAATTTTTAACACTGTCTGTAAAAAGCTTTGCACTTTTATCTGTTAAAAAATTTTGTGAGCATATTTATGCACCATAAGGATTCTCGAGCTCTCACTAATGTTTCAGATGTGCTCATAAAATTGGAATGGAAACCGATATTTATCGTTTTTTTAATATAATATACAAATATAATACAAAAAGTGTTTAACCCTTCTTCGGCTAGTTACAAGATTTTACTGAACACCCCATTTCAAAGGGTAGAGGGTATAAATCGTTGCAGTTGAAACGCTTAGACTGAAAAATACTCTGTTCGCATTAAATAGCTGCTAAAAACAGTGCAAAGCCGCGTCCATGGACGGCAACTAATCTATCCATTTTCTCACCGCGTACAGAGTAAACAAAATAACTCTCAAGGGTGTTTTAGTTAAGGAAAATAGAACTGAAAGTAACGAAATTCGACGCCAAAACGAAACTTTCGCTTGATGAATTGAATTGTTGACAAACGAAAACGAACGATGGAAACGAAATGAATGAAACGAACAAACGAACGAGCGAGCGAAGCAGCAAAACCGAAGAAAATTGTGTTTATTCAGTCATGTTACAGGTTAAGGTAAGGTTAAGTTTTATTTCACCAATACTTATCCTTATCCCATCCTTAGCCAAACGCTTGCCTGTTGATGGCGGCGTCAAAAGTCCATGTCATACAACAAGTTAAGTTGTGTTCTAAGTCAGTAGAAGCTGATCTAATGCGATGCATTTGTTCGTGAAGAGTACTTAACCCAGGTATATAGTAGACACTTGCGAAGAGTGGCTTCTTTGTATTTGTTTCAGTAGTTTGGGATTATTAATGGGTTTATGATTGTAAAAGATGTTCGCACAATTACGAGAGTTAAAAGAGGGTTTTTTTCATATTTCGGACAGAGCACAAGAAATAAATATATAAAACGAACAAATTAAGCAACGATTAAGAAAAGTAATGAAAGCTCAAATAGAGAGTACGTAGATGAGATTTAACTAAAGCAATCTCTAAATATAAAATTGACTGACTGGCCGAAATTTTTATTGTAGTTACCTTTCCGAAGTTGCACGCTAAAACGAAGTTTTTGGAAAACAATTTGAGACGTGTTTCACACTTTTCGCGATATCCGCCCCTCTTGGAGGGTGAAAGGTTTTGAGGGAGAAGTTTAAAAGTTCTGCCTAATAGGCTTAAGCTCAGAACCAATTTTTAAAATCCTACATACAAATTAAATGAGCACGGGTTTCAGCGATTTCGATAATTCCACCCGCAACTGTGGAAATATTTCGGAAATTTGGCAACTCTTTCTTTAATACTTAAAGCAAAGTTTATTTTTCAGATTCACCACAAGACTAACATGGGCGGAAAACGTTGATTCTAAGATGGTACGGAAAAACGTTCCATGGGCAATACGCACTATGTATAATATATATATATATATAATATTTTAAATATTTATATAGTTTTACAATAAATTTCTTGCTGCGCTTTCGTGGTATAATAAGCTAATATTGGAAAGAAAGGATATCCATTAAATTTACAGCCAAATAAATACCTGGCTGCTTTATGTTGTTTAAAATACTGGACAAATCAAACTAATGAGACCACATGCCAGTTATTACAAAACAAGACTTTCTGCTCGAATACCATTTAAAATGAAAATCGCTTCCAAGTAGGCATTACAATATTTGACTGCCCTTAAAAATCCACATGAAATCGATATTAAAATTGCCTTGCACTTTTAAGCACCTGGTTTACCAAAAGGTTAAATATTTAAACTGTATTTGCTGGCGTTGCATAGTAGACGCTCAGAAATCTAACCAGAGGCGGCAGTTGGGCAAATCCAGCAAATTGTCTAGATGAAGTTCACATTGCAACCTGGGTCGCTCGCTCTTGCTGGTCGCCCATAAAAGTAGACTACAAAATATGCTTAAATATGCATTATGCGCTTATGGGTAACAAGTGTGGAAGAGGATCAAAACTGCCCAACTGAAAGCACAAAACGGAACTCAACTCGGCTCAAAACTCGATTGCATGTAATGGCACTTAAGGTAACAACACACCGTCTGCAATGTGTGTGTGTGGCACAGGTGCAAATGTAAATGCATCAAATCTGAATTGTATTGGATGGAGGTTATTGAGAGAGAGAAA